TATCAGCTGGGCGCCGCCATCTTGTTTTGATGAAAAAGTGCTTCCGGTGAGCTTTCTACCTGGAAAAGCTCACCAGAAGCACTTTTTCATCAAAACAAGATGGCGGCACCCAGCAAGCCAGCGGCCCGGTAGGACTTGTTCCACGGACCGGTACCGGTCCGCGGACCGGTGGTTGTGGACCCCTGCTCCAGAAGACATCATTTATGATATTTTTGTTATTTACAAATAAATACTAAAAGCCATGCAGATGGTCTCAGTGAAGGTGTAAAAGAGTTTTAAAAACCAACAAAAATGTGAATTATGAATTGTGCCATGTCCACATTAATTCAACATAGAATTAATTTTAAGATGTTTGTATATGTGCTTCCCATTAAAAAATACATTGGGATGAATTTAACTATACAAGAAAAGAAATAGAATCCAGGGTATATTTTCCTTTCAGAATTCTTACCAAAAGTTGCCTGTATGTAGCATACAAGGACGTTAATCATACATATTTCTGCAGATATATCTTTATGGTGAGGGATGGTTTTGTATTTTAGTTAGGTTATTAAGCTCAGCAGCAATACTCGTGAGATTGGTATTAGCTGGTAAAAAGAGGCAGTCTGTTCTGCAAAGGGGAATGGTGGGAAAGAGATACAGTGATGAAAGATGAAAGAGCAAAGGTCAGATGGGAAAAAAGGGCAGGGAAAAGGTTGAAACTCTATATCGCATTTACACCATCTGTCCAAGTGTATTACTTCATATATATTTATAGGCAAATACACTTAATGAATAATACAATATAAATAATGAATTGAAGATAAGAGGAAATTTTCTCTTTTTTAAAGAAGAAAAATGATGGGTTGCTAACAAGCTGAAATGAATAAACTTCAGTTTTTTTCTTGTTACTCCTTTATGTTGCCTGATGATATGTTTGTTCCCTCTCCCAGAGAAGAACTCATGATAAAAGAAGATCAAAGAAAAATTATTGAAGAGAACAATCAGGAACATGCAAATCAATTAAAAAATTTGCAGGAGAAGGTCTGGACAAAATGATATTTTAAATGTTATTTTAAAGGTCTTTGTAAATGTGTCTCAGTTTTTAAAATGATGTTTATCATCTTCAGATCACAGAGCTTGAAGACAAATTAAAAATATATGAAAAACTCCCCTATATGTTTGGAAGTAGTATTTTATTAGACTCTGTCACGCCAAATACTGAACAACTGGCAGAACATTTTGAAATTAAGGATGATATGCAGGGAATTGACTCTTCAGTGGAGAAATTAGATTTTTCTGGTGAGTAATAAACATATGTATTGGTATGCTCTGCAAACTATGATATTGAAACCTGTGGCAAAGTCCTAATTGCTAGATACTATGTTAATTGAGACCAAAAAATTCCATCATTAAGCAATGTGGTCATAAGTCAAAAAACCACTTGACTGCACAGTTTAGGGATGGCTAGTCCTGCTTGCCGCCATCAAGTGAGAATCCCACTTGACCTTGACTTCCAACTTACTGCTGGCTTTCCCATTGACTTTGCTTGTGGGAAGCTGGCAGAGAAGATTGCAAATCATGATCATGTGATCACGGGAGCTGTGAAGTTGTAATTCGCAAGCCCACAATCAGGACTGCAGGGACTACAATGTCTCATTGTAACCACTACTTGTTACCATGGTAAATTTAAACAGACTCAGATTAAACAGTCATTAAATGACTGTTAAACCACTTAAATGAACTGCAATACATTTTTATAACATGACATTAAGTTGTCCTACTACAGGTGGTATAGTGACAGTTATCTTCTTTTGTAAAACAATATATCAGAATCTAAATTGTTATTTGTTTAATTATTATAAATAAACGAGAATATTGAATAATTTTATAATAAAATGGGGTGATGAATAAATACTATAGTAACTTTTTGATAAGTGACTATGCATTTGTTACAGATTTTGATACCTTTGTTGGAGACCCACCAAGGTTAGATACAAGTGCTCATAAAGCTAAGGCCCAGCTTGCCTTGAAAGTAAAACGTCAGCCACCTTCTCGGTCAAAGCTAAAGGAATCTCTTGGTGCCAAACAAAAAGATAGAAACTCACAGGTATAGTGTTCATTTTATTTTCCAGGTATAACTCTGTACTTTGTCTATGATTAAAGTATACATGAGATAAACTATATCATTTACTCGGCATTTCTGGCATATGATCTAAAAGGTCTCTCATTTCTTTGTTCTCTCAGCTTCTCAAAACAAGTGTTTTTAGCCATATTTAACATTCATTTATTTGTTCATACATTTTCTATAGCTGCCCAATTCAACCAAGTGACTCTGGATGTCTTGCAATTGATGTAGACACTGTTCATTCTTCTGCAGCTTTCCAATAATTATCAAATTTAAAGTGCTGGTGCATTTGACAGACTTTGAGAGGAATATTAGACTAATAGGCATATATAGTTCTTTAAAAATATGGATTCAGTTAATAGGGACACAAGGGGTTTTATATTATCTCTTTAGTCTCATTTCTTTCCAGCATGTGCAAGTACTTTCCTTTTTGGAAAATAGCTAACTTAAATTGGGTAGAATGGAATAAAGTAATGATTATATTTGTTACATTTTGCTTGTGGATTTAGGTTTGGCTAGAAGGTATATAATTTCACAGGCCTTTTTCTACTGCTTAAGGAAATACTCATGAAACTGATTTTTTCTTACATTTATTTCAGCTCTATGGAAATCATTACTAATGTGGAATATAGAAAGGACTTTAAAAATCAATTTAAAGCATACAGCTCAGCCCTGCTTGTCATTAGCCCTATAATCTATACTGAAACAGCTGACTATGGGGGAAAATAAAGATTTATAATAGTTTATGTTTAAGATATATGAAAACAAAGTTTTAGTATGCTCTTGAGTACTATACCTGGACTGCTAGGAGGTTGAAACAGACAATTAAAATAGGTTGACCTGCACTGTAATTTGGCATTTATTTATATAGCTATAGCAATAGGCCTTAGGCTTATATACCACTTCAAAGTGCTTTACAGCCTTCTTTAAGCGGTTTACAGAGTCAGCCTATTGCCTCCAACAATCTGGGTCCTCATTTTTTCTGTGGAAGGATAGAAGGCTGAGTCAACCTTGAGCCAGTGTGAATTGAACTGCTAAACTGCTGTCAGTCAACAGTCAGCAGAATTAGCCTGCAATGCTGCATTTTAATCACTGTACCACCACGGCTCAATGTAAGATTTTTTAAAGCTGGAAATGCACCTATCTCTACTTCAACAAAGGTTTGCATTAAATTATTTTATGGTTACTTTGAATCTGGCATTAATTAAAAGTTACATTGTACAGTAAGTTAGTCTTTTGAACTCCTTCGTAGGGTATAAGAATCACAAACTTTGCAATGTTTGGAAATTAGAAAAATGACAGGGATCAAACAAAAGTAACTTCTATTATGATTGAAAAAGACATATATTTATCTTTGCTATCTTTTTAAAAATTTATGTTTAGGTAATACAGCTCTTCCTTCATATGCTTTACTGCGTACATAGATTTGAACAGTTCCAACTGAGAAGAAGAATAAAATGTCAAAAGATATTTTTGATATTTTCTTGTTTTGATTTGACTTTACAAAGCTGCTGCCTTATAGTGCTTGTCCTAGCTACATTGCTACTAGTTTTCCAGTGCCACTTAAGACTTCACACTCAGGATTTATTCGTTTCTTAATTATTAAATGCTGCATACTGAATTATGAATGCTTCTTTTTATCTGAATTCTTAACTGATATTCTACTACTTTTTATTTTATTTATTTTGGCTGCCTTTTATATGTGTATGTATACATACATATATACATGCATATAAAAGATATCTCATATACACATGAAAGGGTGAGAGGGAGGGAGAGAGAGAGAGACAATGTTTAATCGTTACTACATAATAATGTAAATAATTATGAATGTTATTAAAAACAATATAATGTTTGCATAATATGTGTAATTACAATTACATTTAATATTTTATTTCATATTAATATACATTACATTGCTTATTTATATATGTTAATATACAGAGATGAAAAGATGTGTTGAAAGTGAAATTGTAACAAATTAAGCAACAGGTTTTGGTATGACAACTTAGGCAATTTAAATTGGTGTTATGAAGAAAGAGTGGTATGCAACAAGGGAATATTTCTAGAGAAAACTTTCACAACGAAGGCATCGCAGAAAGGATACTGGCTTGATATTACCTTAAGTTATTTCAGCAAGGTGATTCACAGCATATTATGGATAACAGCTTTAACAAATTAGCAATATAGGAAAATCTGGGTGTTGAAAAATCATAGTCCTAAAGTTGCTTAGAATATTAATGTTGTTTTCTTACTTATGGTTTAGGATATTAATGATGATACAAAAGAAAATACCTTGAGTAAGTTTCCAGATGTGACAGAAAAAGTCATTTCATCACAGCAAAACGATACCGATAAAAAAAATGATAAATTGGAGTGTGCTGAAAACAGTGACCTTTTATTAGAACCAAGTCCACCACTTTCTGTGCACTCTTCTCCAGTGTATAAACTGCAGACAGAAGACACTGCTGGAATAGCTCAGTCACTACCTAATGATGATTCTGCTCCAAATTCTCCTGCTGGATATTGCCGAAATGTTAAGCAAAGAGAATCGAAAGGAAAGGGGAAAGTGAATAAAGGTAAGATTAAGATGATTATGTTACGTTCATCCAACTGGGCTATCATTGTGGTCTAAATAATTTCTTATGTCTTCATTGCCACAGAACCTGTAGATTTTCTTGGAGAAGTGTGGGGATCTGCTTCAGAAAAGGCACAAAGAGAATAGAGGAAAGGAGGGAAGGGAAATAGAGAATTCTCACTGCATGAATGGAAATATGATATAATATTTCATATAGTCCTTTAATGTTTTAAAATGATAAAGTAATAATTATGCCACAACACCTAGGCATTTGTATAATTGCAATAGAATAAAAAATATATAATATAATTCAGCCTTACTAAACTTAGCAAAGTCGCCGTTACAATCACATGGTAGCTTATTACTTGCATTTTGTAAGTTGTATTACTTCAGATCATGGCCAGAGTTTCATCCCTTGCGCTCTGGTCTTATAATTTATAGTTTATTGATAGTTTTATATATGATCAGGACTTATATTTTATGTTCACTGAACAGATTCAGTTAATATCAAATGTTTATTATGATTGTCATACTTGTATCAGAAGCACCAACGCGCTTTCAAGTTGAAAGGATTATCTAGTAACATCATCATTGTTTTGGGGGGACATCCAGTTGAAAGCTCCTTTCATGTCCCCGGCAGGAGCTGTAATGAAAGACAGGAGCTCACCCTACCCTACAGTAGCACTCAGCTCTCAAACGCATACTTGCTAACCTCCAACCCATCATCCTAACCATGAGAACCACTGTGCTCCTGTGCTTATTACGATCAAAGACTAATATAAGGCAGATGGGGTACAGTCAATTAAAAAGCATAGAAATACAACAGAGTCTAAAAAAGTCATAATAATAAAAAGCTAAAGGATTTAAAACAAAGTATATATAAAAAAGCAAAAGCCTAAAAGGAGGGGGAGAAGCAGAGGTGGCATTCAACCGGTTCGCACCAGTTTGAGTGAACTGGAAGTGGTGATTTGGTGTGGATCGCCAAACCAGTGGTGACCCCTGGCTGGCCATGCCCCCAACCCAGTTGGTCACTTGCCCAGGTGCTCTCCTAGCTTTCCCTACCACAGCACAGCTCAGGCGGATGTCTCGTGGCTGCTGCACATGCGCACTGTGTGTGCAGCCGCTATACATGCAGTGTACATGTGCAGCTGCCCCAGGATATCCGCCCACCTGCCCACCCTCCTGGAGCACGCTTTCTTCCTTCTCCCAGCGCATGCGCCTCTTCCGGCCCGGCCCAGCCAGCCAGTAGGTGGCTACATGTCCAGCAGCCTCTTTCGCAGCACAAAAAACCTCCCCCAACCAGCTGACTACTGTCCTCTTCCTCGGCCATACAGAACAAACAGGCAGAGAAGGAGGGGAGCAGCCAGCTGGTTGCGCTGGAAAAGGGGCGGCTGGAGACCGAAAAGAAGTTGCCTCCGGCCGCCTCTTTCAGAGGGCTGCATCACTGCACTCAGATTTGCTTGGGCAAGTCCCTTCGATGCAGTGGGCTCAATGGGTGGACCTGTGTGGCCGGCGCCTAGAATGCCATGGCAGCACATTGGAGAAGTGGAGCAAAGCCGCTGCTAGAAGCCTATAGCCACTGCCTGTTTTCTTTGGTGAGGGAGGAAGGAAGATAAGGTTTCAGGCAGTTGGGAAAGCTGCCTAGCCCAGAGCTGCCGGTGGGGGGGGGGGGGGGCAGGCTGCAGCACACGCCTTGCTTGAATTTCCCAGCCCCAAAAGCGGGAGGGGAGAAAGTCCCGCCCATGGCTCCTTTGTTGGACCTGGAAGCCTTGCCTGCCGCGGCTTTTTCAGGCAACGCAGAACCAGAGACTGGCTGGGGAGAACCCTTGTAACGAGTGATGCTGCCGGGCACTTGGAAGCGTGTGTGTGTTTGTTTCAGATGGGTGCTTGGAAGCATGTGTGTTTGTGTGTGTTTCAGGTGGGCGGGTGGAAGCGTGTGTGTGTGTTTAAGGTGGGTCTCCTAGCTTTATTTTCCCAGCTCTTAACTTTCCCAAAAGTGGGAGGGGAGGAAGTCTCACCTGTGGCTCCTTTGTTGGACCCGGAAGCCTTGCCTGCCCGGAGACTGGCCGGGAAGAACCCTCGTAACGAGCGATGCTGCCGGGCGCTTGGAAGCATGTGTGTGTATGTGTGTGTTTGTTTCAGGTGGGTGCTTGGAAGCCTGTGTATGTTTCAGGTGGGTTCCTCTCCTAACTTTAGAAGGAGAGAGGGAAGGAGGAAGGGAAGGGATAGAAAGAGAAGGAAAGAGAAAGAGGGAGAGAAAGAGAAAGAGAAAAAGTGGGAGAAAGGAAGAGGAAGAGAGGGAAAGAGAAGAAAGAGGGAGAGAGAGAGAGAGGAAGAGAGAGAGAAAAGAGAAGAAAAAAGAAAGAGAAAAGGGAAAAAGAAAAAGAAAGAGAAAAGAAGAAAAGAAAGACTGGCTGGAAGGAAGGGAGAGAAAGAAAAGAGAGGGAGGAGAAAGTGAATGAGATATATGGATGGATGGATAGATAGATGGAAGGAGGGAGAGAGAGAGAAAAAAAAGTAGAGGAAGGAAGGAAGGACACAAACCCTGACTTCAGAAGACTTTTTGAAACAGCAGAGCAATCTAGGGCTGGAAGGGATCTCGGAGGTCATCTTCTAGTCCAAGGGTCTTCAAACTGGGCAAGTTTAAGACTTATGGACTTCAGCTCCCAGAATTCCTGAGCTAACATGAAGGAGGAATTCTGGGAGTTGAAGTCCACAAGTCTTAAAGCTGTCAAGTTTGAAGACCCCTGTTCTAGTCCAAGCCGCTGCTCCAGCAGGAGATCCTTACAGAATCATTGAATAGCAGAGTTAGAAGTAACCATGGATGCCATCTAGTCCAACCCCCTGCTCCAGCAGGAGACCTTATATCATCTGGAATCTGGATTATTTTGGTGCCTCTAACAGAGAGGAAAATTGGCAGAGGGGTTTACTAGGACAAGGCTGCCATGCAGAGGAAGGCAGAGATAGTCCTTCACTTATGACAACAATTGAGCCCAAAATTTTGGTTGTTAAGTGAGTTTCACCACATTTTACTCAATCCATGATATCTCCTGGGTCTAACGGTCATGTGCAGGCTAGGGAAGTAAATCTGAAGGTGTGTGCAATGTTCTAATGTACAGAAGTTATAGTTAAATGTGTGGCAGAAAGTGGACTATGGGTGTGTTTTTCCAAATGCAGTGAGGTTGAAAGTGTATAGTTTTAGAAGAGCTGTGTGTGTGTGTGTGTGTGTGTGTGTACTATGGGTGTGTGTGAGTATATATAGTAGATAATGTATCTTTTTGTGTGCCTTTACACACACTATACAATATAATATGTATGTACACATATGGCATATATACATAGGATTAAATAGTGTATTTTGGATATTCAGTAATAGTAAATAGAGAGGGAAATTGTATCTCTTTGAGGCCAGGCAAGGCACCCCTTGACGGAGTGACGTCAAGTTGGCCACGCCCACCCAGTCACATGACCACCAAGCCAGCCCACCCAATCACATAACCACCAAGCCACACCCACTAAATAAGCCACGCCCACAGAACCAGTAGTAAAAAAATTTGAATCCCACCACTGGTGGAGAGGAGCATAAAATTAGTAAATGAGAGACTAAATATCACAGTATAGAGCACTCTAGTATGAGGATGCTCATTAAAGCAAGTTTAGGGCCCGGGTCATTATTTGAATTAATAGTTTAACTTTTTTAAAAAGCCTTGTAAATCAAGGTTTAAAAAGGGTAAACCCTTTAAAAGTTTGGAGAAGGGATTTGTTTCATGGAAAATCAGTCATGCTCCTTAGTAGAGATTTTTCCAGTTGTGGATCCTAAAGGAACCCAATAATTGAAATGGCCCCATGCAAACATTACACTGAATAAATATTCTGCCTTTATGTGTTACAAAATTACTATGGATTCTATTCTTGTATATTGCTCTCAGAATATTTTTATAGAATGATTTACATTACATGTAATATAAATGAAAGATGGAAAAGATTTTTTTTCTCATTCAGAAATGGATGTGTATCAGTTGATATCCCCTCACTAAGACAATCATGTACATATTAGGTTCGTGGTAATTGTGCATTGTCCCTGTGTGAACCATCCTTATTTTGGTGGGATTCTTCTTCTTCCTACACAGGCCTTCCCTGCCACCTTGTTGGTTTTTCTTCCCCTGACACAGAGGCAGCATAAGGAGAAGTAGTCTTCTCTCAAGTGATAATCAACAGTTTTATCACCTCTTATTTTCTAAAAACAGTGCAACAAAAACAAAACATTAAATGGCTTTTTTAATATTTTGGGGTTTTTTGCAATGTTTTTCACAAAATAAAAAGCTAATTTATAGCCTTGGTTTTATTTTCCCAGAAATGTGCTGATTTGACAATTTATTTCCTGTTGTGGGTGATGGGATGTGCAAGAATGTGTAGATATATTTTATATTATAGCTATAAACAAACCACTGAAAACTAAAGAATTGGAAAAAACAATTGCAGTTTCAAAATAATAAATGGCAAATTATTCAGTTTTTAAATGTATGTTAAACCTAGACTATATGGGATCATATGATTCAATCCTATCTTTCCACTGAAACAAGGCTATCTTGAATGCTAAACTCTGACATACATTATTAAACCAATTTTAAGATCTGTAAACATATTTTTTCTAAGAATGTACAGTTATGTTTTTCACTACTATCCAAGCAAGATATATTTTGCTCTTCATGCATAGGCAAGTGTCAGATTTGGGAGATATTAACATCTTACTTACTTACTTACTTACTTACCTCCATGAATCTGATGCATCATGGTAACCAATAGATATGCCTAAAACACCCACATTGATATTCTTCTGAATTGCACCTCTGACATTTTTTTAAAAAAATATGATAGTCAATCTTTTTTAAACAATAGTTGAGAAATCTAGTATACCCCAAAATAATTTTTTGTTGGACTAAATTTGTCCTTAAGTAAGAAGAAACACATTGCATCTTAAATCGGAAAGATATTGTTTTT